GGTTTCCTCATCTATGTACGCTTGGGCTAGCTGGTGTTTAATAACTCGAATTTGATCAATATGAGAATGTGGATCCAAGGTCAAATCCCCAATCTCTCGTTGTAGTTCTTCAATACGTCTTCTTGAATTAAGATTCGAATTTCGTCGACATAAAGACACAGATTTCCGACATTCTCTGATTTGATCTGTGATGGAGTAGTTCCACTGCAAGTTCTGTGAATACCAACCTCTGGAAACATAGTCTCTAAATCCTGGGTGTTGAAATAGCCTTTTGTCAAACCTAAACTGCTTTTGCCGTCCACTATTAGCGTAAGCCACAGTAGTCATTGTTGGTCTATGATCTGAGCCTTATAAACCAAGAAACTCTGTTTCCGAAGCTGGAAAAGATGATTTCCATTCCGAGTTGGCAATAACCCTGTCAAGACACTCCTCTATGTGGTGGTTATACCGTGTTCCAACCCATGAGAATCTGTTCCCTCTGAACTTCAGGTCCGACAAATCACATGAATTGTACATGTTTCTGAAATCCCTGAAGGTCTATTCATTACGCATAGAGCCTCCTTTCTTTTCTTCATTACTTAAAATCTCGTTGAAATCTCCAATCAACAACCAAGGACCAGATCTTGAACTACCCATACGCTGAATTCTTTCCCATAATCCATGCCTTCTTTTCTGAACTGGATGCCCATAAACGCAGGATAAGAAGAATTCCATTCCATTAAACTTGATGAAAACATCTATCATCCTTACTACTTACTGAAACACCAAACTTCCAAAACAAAGCTAAACCTCCGCTTCTACCAATTGGAGGAACACAAAGCGTATTTACAAAACCTAAAGAAACAGCTAAATCCCTAACAACATCTGAGACATTCAAAGTTTCCACTAAAAAGAAGATATCCGGATTGTATTTTCGACATAGCTCCTTCAGTCGTGGTTCAGTTACTGTCCCACCCACTCCCTGGCAATTCCAGGAGCAAATCTTCATTGGAACAATGGGGTACCGGGCCCCCCGCGCCTGTGTCTATAAATTGGTTGACCGAGTGAGAATCTGAAGACTCCTCAATACGATCACGCTTGTTGACCGGGCTCAGGACCGCACGATCAGCAATTGAGTTAGGATTCTGAAGCATCTCCTCAATTAATTGGCGTTTACGCTTGTTGAAACCTTTGCCTTCCTTAGCAGCTGCTTCGAATACATCAGCAAATTCCTCTTCTCTGAACTTTCCTCTCGATACACGAATGTCTCTTAGTCTTCGCTCTTCGCGATTGTTATCATCATCTCAATGAGTTCAAGATTTTGTTGATCTGCAAGGAGTATTTCTTCAGGAGCCAAAACACTCTGATTAGCGACCTGGTCTGAGCCATCCCATGCATCATCACCATTGTCTTCTGAACCGAGTTCTTCATCTTCATTTTCGAAACGGAGTGGACAGTCTCTTTTCTCATGAGACAGGAGTCCGCAAAGTTGGCAGAAATTATGAAGGATAGAAGGACATTCTCACCATCACCGAACTGGAAATTTCGCTGGAACCGCAGCGGTTGGTTAGTGTCCCATAACACTTTAACACGAAAAAAATCCACTCGGGCAGAGGAGTTTTCGTCAAAGTCGACGTCAACCACTGGAGCAAAAGCCTCGCCTATATTCTCAATCATGAGACGGGACAGAAACTGTAGCGGGATTCCTTTGATCTGAATCAAGAAAGGAATCACCCTTCTCGAAGCTTCTGGAAGATTTGGGGCCCAACGGTGAACCGTAATCATCCATTCTGCAAAAGACCATGGGGAACGCCGGAGTACCAGATTCATCGTTTCCTCGGAAGGGAAAATGAATTGGATTTGATCTGGTCCAATGATGCGACCCGTGCACGAATTTTCCAAACCCCAGAAACGCGACAATTGATTAATCATGTTACGAAGATTCTGCTTTTTTGTGTTGAGGGCTGTCACCGCCAAAGAGAACTGGTTGCTTGTTGCCGCATGAACACAAATCGAAGAGGGAAGGATGACCGGGGCATCAGAGATCCCTAAAGTAATATTTTGCATTTTTCGGCGAAGATTGTCACCCATTTCTTTTCGGAGAAGGTAGGGAAAATTGAAATTGGAGAAGACAAATTGTGGGTAAGTAAGTTGAGTAATTGGGGGTATAAATAGATCTGGCCATGGAGGTTTTCTTTTTTGTGGGCGGAGTGGAAGAGAGGGCATAGTGGAAAGGAAACCGCTACAGAGGAGCGGAGAGAAACCGGCAAAGATGGGGCATTGATGGAGATCGTGCTCCAGAACCGGAGGGACACTCTCAAAAAGAGACTGGAAACCGCTGTCGGAAATCGCCTTTGCAATCGTCATCAAAAAATTTGTCTATCAGATTAAGATGATGTTGATGATGAAGATATAAAACAGATTAATCAGACTATAAAAGAAACAAATACAGTACTCCGACAATTTGTTTTTGTTAAAAATTATTTCTGACAATAAAAGACTTTATTGTTCATAATGGGCCTTAAGACTCTTATGACTTTCATCATCAACATACATATGGGCCCTTCATTCTGCTTCTGCTAATTACATGTTGCATGTACGTTCAGTTTTAGATCAAATTCACATGTCTTTTCGATAGAATTCACACAATAAAACTGAACGTACATGCAAACATTTAATTAGCAGAGGCAGAATGAAGGGTTGATGATGAAGATATAAAAGTGTTAACACTTAAGGCCCATTATGAAAAACTTTGAACTAGTGGGTTTTTATCATTTGGTTTTCACTACTTTTGGGTACATTTTTTCGATTAAATCTGATTACATTTAAATTTCTAGTTCACTGTTAGAAATGTGGTATATAACTTGCCTTTGGCTATTTGTTAATGACAACAAAAATGCTTTATGGCGCGAAGCAGAGTAAAGAAGTAGAAGGAATCAACGACCAAGATTCAAATATTGTTTCATATACCTCAAACTTTTTTTGTTATTTAGAAAAACAAAAAAAAAACATTTAGAAAATTAGATGGTTCCAAGTTGGTTATTAAAATTGATTAGATCATAAATGTAAATTTGTAATAGAACGTTGCTAAGTACTACACAGCTTTTTTAATATTCTCTAATCAAATTTACATGACAACTAATTGTTAGGTGAGTCATGTAAAAGAAGAGAGAGAGATTTTGGCCAACAACAACAAACAAAAAAAAAGTAGAGATTAGAGAACATGCAAAAGCCAAGAAACATCACAAATGTCGAGTGGTGTAGATAAAGAACCAGCGACATGCTCACAGAGTCCATATACCAACTGCCTAACAGAACAGCCTGTCCTCATCACCAAACTTTACTTCCATTTTGATATTGATTTTTTGCTATTTTACTACTAAACTCTTTTTGGTGATGATAGTAAAAAAAAAAAAAAAAAAAACTTATCCCGACAAAGCCAACAAAAAGCCAGCTATACTAGAAAAGAAAAAGAACGAAGAAACATGATGCTTGTATCTGAAGCTGCGGGCGAAACCACGAAGCAAATAGATGCAAGTGGTCACGAACCAACAAATAGAAACTCCACCGCCTCAAATATCTATTTTTTTTTTTTCAAAGGTACTCAGTTTTCGACAGCAAATGAATATCAAATATCAATCATTTTACGATATTATATCATATACTGTATTATTTTCATTTAAATATTGTTATTCTTTTGCTGTCAAAAAATGTATTCTGTTGTTCATTCTTTTTAAGTTTGGTTTTGTACATTGTTGTTATATTATTCTATACCCTGAAATTATTATTCAATACTACAAGTAGAAACTTCAACCAATGGCATCTTGACATGCTAAAACACATTCATAATGATAATAGTATATTCTAACCTCAATTTGCCCTACTTTTACGTCGACATGTAGACTAGCATCAATCATTACAAACCCTTCACATAATATTCAATTTTTCTAAGATTTGTTCCTGTTTTCATAATTCATGGGCTTATCATTGATAAATATAATTAGATTGTTAGAAAAATACAATACTTACAAGATGGCTCGATTGATAGTTTTGCTATAAGCTAAAAGGAAATTGTTCCATCCGTTTCTTAAAGTCAAATGTTTTAAATGTATTTTTCATGAGACTTAAGCTTCAATATAATATCAACGTTTTGTTTTCTGATTTATCCATACCATTCCTAATGAATATGATGTAAATATAGTTAAAATGATAGAGAAACTGTGGTAACACAATAAAAACTGTGGAATAGCGGAAAAAATTAAGTAGAATAGCAAAATGCAGAATAGTGAAATAATTAATTTTAATATGATTGGATAAATTATGCGGAATGGCAGAATGGTGTAATGACATAAAATATATATAATTAATTTTTCATAATAATATTTTTTATATATAATTTAATATAATAAAAATTAAAATATTAATTATTATAAAAACATAATTTTAATATAATTAAAAAATTAAAATTTTTATTGTAATTATTTTTTATTATTTTTTACTATAAAATATATAACTATATTGCAATATTTAATCTACAGATATAATCTGATCATTATATAAATATATATAGTATAAATATATTTATTTATATTTATTTAAATAATAAAATATAATAAGTTATATAATTGAATAATATAAAATATTGATTCCGCAAATAAACTACCTGAAATATACTTTTCCACTTAATTAAATTTTCTTTGTGTTTTTTGTAAGTAGTTCCGCCATTACACAGAATTCGAGTTTTGGCGTTTTTCTGCAAAAAAAATTTAATTAGTAAAATTCTTGCAAAATTGAGTTTACAACCATTTCACCATTCCACCAAATTTACCAATTACAAGTGTAGATTCCACACTACAATTAGTTTTTTGAAAAAATGTTTGAAACTCTTTAAATCGTTTTAAAGAATCCTAATAGAAGTATGTATTTTTTTGGAATCCCAAGAAAATATTGGTTAAACACCCTTTTACTTATTATATCACACATTTAAAACCTAATTAAAGATATTATTTATTAAGCAAAAGGAGGCTAATTTTGACTTGAAGGCTAATTATGGGTCAAAGGCCATAATTGACGCAGTCGTTTTTGGGAGTGAAAAGCCAATTTCGAAGTTATTTCCTTCTTCCTTCTCTCTCCATCCTTCTATATATAAACCTTCCTCTCCTCTTTCTCATTTCACATCCCTCAAGCCATTTCGAAATCCTTCTAGATTGAGAGAGAGAACAACAGACGAAACCAAGTTTCTTCAATCTCGTTGCCGCAGTCAAAAAATAATTCAATTCTCGGACAAATCTCTCCTTCTGCGGCGGCGAAAAGAAGAAAAAAATCTCCCAACAAACAAAAAAAGTTTCATCCTTTTATTGTCTGTTCTGTCTCTCTCTCTTCACGAAACCACATAATCCGAAAATGGCTCGTTCTCTCTCTAACGTTAAGCTCGTATCTGCTTTCGTCTCTCAAGGACTCTCCAATGCTATCTTTCGGTAAAGTCACTACGCTCTGTTTTTTTCCCTCGTTTATGCTCTGTTTTTCTCGTTACGCTCTGTTTTCTAAACGGTGTCGTTTGGTGCTTCTTTTGTTAATAACAGACGTGGGTTTGCGGCCACGGCGGCGCAACCAAGCGTTTCGAGCGGTGGAAGAAGTGGATCCGTTGTTTCGGCGGTGATGAAGAAGAAGGGAGTGGAAGATTCGAACCAGAAGATTTCTTGGGTTCCAGATCCCAAAACCGGTTATTACAGACCGGAAACCGGTTCCAACGAGATTGACCCAGCGGAGCTACGAGCAGCTCTCTTGAACAACAAGCAGTGATTAATTAATCAAAAAAAGATTCTCTTTTTTTATTAATGATTAAATGTTAAATTTAAGTGTCTTGAGAGGAGATTAGGGGAAGTGGGTAATGATCTGGTGCAGTGAACCCTTATTTTCATCTACTAAGTGCGATTCTTTAATAAATCATAGAGAAACGTTTGGTTCCTCTATTTTGTTGTAACAAAAGGATCGTTAGATGTATGATGTATATCATAATAGATTTTTCTTTCATAAAAAAAATTGAGTTACTAGGCTACTAGCAATTTCACAGCTTTTTTTATCCCAAGCTTTACACAATTAAAATTGACATTGATCACATACATTTTTAGCCACCACGATGGGAGACTCGATTTCTATCGGTTGAGCCATTACAGTACAACTAAATACTCTCTCTGATTCAAAATAAGTGTCATTTTGATACTTTTCATATAAATTAAGAAAATCGTTAAAAATGTTGTTTTACCCTTTGTTCATACACAAAATAATAATATCTTTCTAATTAATACATTAATATAATAAGGTTAAAACATGATTTTTGTTTAGAAAATTGTATTGAAAATACAAAACGACATTTTTTGTGAAACAAAAATAAAACTCTAAAACGTTACTTATTTTAAAACAGAGGGAGTATGAATTGTCAATTTATCATATATTTATTCAAATAAATCTATACAGAATTATAATGTAAGCATGCATATCATACGATGTTTGCTACGCATATAAATCGGAATTGAGATCAGTCTTTGGGTGATTTTCAACAATCAACATGATCTCGAGTTTGGATGGTGCAGAGATTTGTAGGACCTGAACACTTCATGACTGTTAAATTATAATTCAGATTCATGTACAGCTATGTTGGAAAAAAAGTTCAATTATTGGATATGTGTGTTATTCCAACCTATTTAATTAATTGACGTGTGAGATAACATATTATAAGGAATGTTGTTAAGAATTAGTTGCGTATAATATAAGCAAAGATAAGGTATTCATGGTAAACTAAATACTAATCAGATAAAATATATATACACAGTATTATCTTTATATATACTTTTGTTGCTTGCATGGATATAACCGACAGAATCTCGCCACAGTTCTCTAATTGGCACTTGGCAGTGCAATTAGCGACAGCTGCTTGACATAAACATCCATTAACAATGTAATTAATTAACCTAAGTTATTTTTAAAACATGTTTCGTACCTTTGGAGTTTCGACCGTTCCTTTATAAATACTTTTTTAATAAATCAAATGTCTGCAGGCCTGAGTGTATGTCTATACATGTATATGTTAGGTTTAGGAGAACGCATTAACTTTACCTCTTCGCGTTCAGCTAACCACACATTTCTCATGATTATAAAAATGTTCATTTGTTTATTTTTCTGTAGTGAGGAAAAGTTTTAAATTTCAGCAAAACGTAGCGAGTTATGAAACTCAAGATCAATTACACTTTGATTCTTTGTTTCAATATTTAGATGGTATAAGAAAAAAAACAAGGAACCTAAGAAGTAAGTAATATACATATTGCAAGAAATTTTTTTGTAGACTTTTCAATGAAAATTTTCATTACACACCAAAAAAAAATGAAAATTTTCATTGACAAACTATTTTCAAAACTAGTAATTATCGATATATAAATATATTCGAATTAACCCATTTTGTATATGGAATATATAGGTGAAGTTTGAAGAATTCAAAAGGGCAAAGGAACATAAGACGTGTCCTGTCTTCTTTTGAAGAGTCAATTATGCTCAAAAGGCTTTGAGACTTGAGACAGACTTATTGAGAGAGGTAACTTGGTTCATCGAATCTATATCAACATTGAACTTCTTCTAGTACTTGACTATAAAATAAAATAATAATTACGCCATCTCTTCTCTAACATGTTCCTTTATTCTTTCAAGTTTGTTTGCTAGCTCGTATCTAAACATTTCATATAGTCATAATTTGCATATTAACGCGTGATTTGGATGTTGAAACTGTATAAAATAGTAATACTAAAAAGTTGCTATAAGATTCCTTATGCTGAAAAGACAGTCTTTCGCACATGTACTTTAGACACCCACTAAACATTTAGATGATCACAGGAATCCCTGCGATTTCATTTGTATATAGTTAGATAAGAAAATTCAGCAAAAACTTTTTTGCAAAAATAATCCTGCCTCTTTTTCTAGTACCTAACCTAAAAAGTATGTTTGTTAGAGATCTACACTATCATGTATTGGAATAAAATAAAATAAAAACAAACGAAAAAAGAAGTTTGGAAATGGACGAGTCTAGCTTGTATCACCTTTTAAACTATTGGTAAAGCTATATGCATATAATTTTTATAAATTAATATTCGATAAATTAATAATCACTATAAATTAATAATTTTTATTATTTCCAAGACAAACCAGTGTAAAAATTGACAAAATTCAATAAGATAATATTTTTGTTGAAAGTTCTATGTATAAATATGGTCCCAAAATAATATATATTAATAATTATATATTTAGATATGTATTAATAGTATAATATAGTAAACTATGGTAATACTCTTGTTTCAAATTTATATAATTTGTTTGATTTATCTTTTAAATTCATTATTCAGAAATTTTTTGAATGAATTTTACATTGTTGAATATATTGAAAATTCAAACTAAAAACATTTATATAAATTAATAAATTTCAGAATAATTTATAGAATAATTAAATATTTATATAAATTAATAAAATATTAATGTATGAATAAATTAATAATTGATTAGTTAACTCTATAAAATAATAAAATTGAAAGTCTCAACATTATTAATTTATAAAGGTTTTACTGTATTTTTTTTTTGGTTAGAATAATATAGCTATACCAAATAACTATGTACATAATGTATATCTTTGACTACAAAAGCTAGTGCCACCAGTAAACTCATATGCATTTTGTATGTTAAAATTCATAGGCATTTTAGAAAGAGTTCTCCTCAATATTTTTTTGTGTGTAAATTTACCTTTTATTTTTTTAAAATATAGGTCAATTATATTTTTAAAAATATAGGTCAATTTTAGAAAGAGTTTTCTGCAAATAAACTCCTCAACGGTTATTCTTTGTGAAGATCTTCAATTAAAAGAAAATACGAAAACATAATTAAATTACAAAACATGAAATTAAATTATATGGTTTCTTAAAAATACCACACGCCTTAATTTCAAAAGCACAAATACTGTACATCTTAAATATTTACATGGCTTTATTATTCTTTAATAATTGCTACTTTAATAACATATATATATATATCTACTATGAAATATATTTGTAATAATTAAGGCACATAGAATATATTGTCGACATAAATTAAATAACAAAATAAACAAAATTCTAAACCAATCATATCAATCCAATTATATTAATAGGCAACAAAATCTCTCTCATGGTATACATTCGTTCACCAAATATTTTTTTAATATGGATCTCTTTAATTTATTGATGTTGAATCGATTAACTCATGATTAGAGTTAAGTTACTTCGAAATTTTTGACATTTTTATCATAATTATGAAACTCTTAAACTCATTTTTGCTGATAATAAGATATAAAATGGTTTTAATGATTTAAATATATGTTATATACATTTTTATTACACTACACGGTAAAATTTAGTTCTTTTAACTAAATATATATTGTTTGTGAAGATATTGAAATAATATAAATAATTAATCAAAAAATTAGAAAGATAAAATTTACGCGATAATGTCAAAAAATTTATCAACCATCCATCCATTTCAGAGAAAGTTAATCGAAAGCAAATGGATGATTTTATCAAACTTCAAACTCATTTGGATGTCTAGTTCTTTCAAGCCAACTAAAAGTTGTTTTAATATTGTGTATCAGTTTACAATTTTTTTAAAATGTATTCCATTCAATAGTGACAAATATTACTTTTTTTTTGCTAAATTTGAAATCGTTAAATCTAAACTGAATTTAGTCTTCTATGTTGGTAAGTAAATGTTTGTATTGATAAATTATTAAATTATTTACCTTTTTTTAATATATTGAATATGACAAAACGATTTGTTTACAGATTTAATTGGTCATATGATTGATATAAAAGATTTGGTGAGACATAAACAATCTAAATTCGATCATATATTAGAAGAGATAGATTTTGAAATGAACAATAGAAATTACCTGAAAATATTTATGTTGCTCATTTTAAAATATATTTAATCCGATAGATGGTTGGATTTGTGATGTTTCTGTTTCACTAAATCTTTTATATTAACTACATGACCAATTAAATCTGCAAATAAATAGTTTTGTCATATCCAATATATAAAAAGTTAAATATATTTAAACTCTATCAATAGAAACATTCATTTACCAACACAGAAGCTCAAAATGAGTTTCCCACATTTAACACTTCTAAATTTAGCAAAAGAGAAGTAATATTTGTTATCATTGAATGTAACACATATAAAAAAATGGTATACTGCAACACAATCTTAAAAAGGACTTTTAGTTGGCTTAGAAGAATTGAACGACCAACTGAGTTTTTAGTTTGCTAAAATTAACCATTTGTTTTTGATTGACTTTTTATGAAATTGATGGTTGATAAATTCTTTCAACATTGTTGCTTGAATTTTATCTCTATAAAAAAAACTTATTAATTATTATTTATATTATTTTAATATTTTCTCAAACAATACATATTTAACTAAAAAAGAAAATAAATTTTGCCGTGTAATGCAATAAAAAAAAGTATATAACCAAAGTACATGTATTCAAATAATTAAAACCATTTTGTACCTTATTATCAGCAAAGATGAGCTCAAAAGTTTCATAACCATCAACATCCACATGTTAAAAAGATCTATATTGAAGAAGAAAAAAAATTGGTGAACGAAAGGAAGATGAATTAAGAAGCTAGAGAGAAAGATTTTGTTGGCTATTAATATAATGGGATTGATATGGTTGGATTTAGAATTTTGTTTATTTTGTTATTTAATTTATGTTGATAATATATTTTAAGTGCCTTAATTATTAAGAATATATTCCATAGTAGATTTATATGGTAGTAAAGTAGCAATTACTAAAGAGGAATAATGGCATGCAAATATTTACGATATATTTGTGCTTTTGGAATTGTTTTACAATTACAACACATGCATATCGTTTCTGATTTGTTAGGCATATGGTATTTTAAGGAACTATATAATTTAATTTCGCATTTTGTATATAATTTAGTTATGTTTTCCTTTTTTTTTACTTGAAGATCTTCGCAAATAGTAATCGTATAGTTCTACAATTAATTTATTACATTTCATTAGTATTTTAAATGTGAATATCTTAAATCATTCATAATGATTTGATGATTTTTACAGTTTATGGATATTTAGATTTTATTATTATGGAAATGAGTGGTAATTATTTATTCTCATATTGATTACATGTGATTTAATTTAAGTTTATATCTTAAAATTTCCGCTCTATAAAAGTTAGTTTATGTAAGATTGAATTAATCATGGGAGATTTTAACATTAAATTTTTAGTTATAGGGATTTTTACCGGAACCATCTTTAGAGGTTATTGCATTAAAAACCCTCAATAATGATTGGTAATTATTCACAAGTAAAAGTCGTTAGTTGAATATTTTATTTGACGTATACACTTAGTTTATGATTATCCATCCCATCCATTGTTATTTTAACTAGAGACGACTTTCATTCGTCATCTCGTTGCTTGCAATTATGCGATGCCTCTCTCATTAGTCAATATATTCACAGGAGAAAACATACAATACTGTTTTCTTTCTAAATTATTTTGGTTACGATTTTTTAATAAACAATTTATTCATATTTGTTTTGTTCTTGCAATATCTCTAGTACTCGTAAATTACATCTGGATAAATGTTTTTTTTACTTCTACAGCCATAATATCCTTGCTTTGGATTTCCCAGCACCATCGATATCAACTCTCATTAGCTCGACGTCAGTTTTGTTATATGGCACAGTCAGTGGCTTATAAGATGCGTTGGCAAATAGATTAGGACACAACCATATGTTGTGTTAGCAAAACTGCAATAACGTAAACTTTTACTCGAACTGAGTTTGAGCACCAAAGACCCGAAAACTCAAACCGGTTATTCGATCTATAAACCGGTTCAGTTGAGATCCCAGCAATTACAAAAGATTGTGATTTGTGACCAACAATTTAACATGTAATCCAATTAGTGTATTCTTTAAATTCATAACAATAAAGTCCAAAGTTAGCTCATGACCTTCAATAAATTCCCTACTATAATAAGACTATGTAGAAGTAACTCGATCCTCAAAATCGAATAAAAAGCAAAGCACTGATATAAATAGATCACAAACCAACATCGCTTATCATCAGCACAATGCTAAAACCACAGACCGACAGTGATTGTAGACACAATGTAGTAATAGAAATTAGGCTACGTCTCTGAAGAACCATGTTACCTACCAGAAGCATCTTCACAAGCAAATCCTCTTTCCACTAGATCGCTTGAAACAGTTTATAAAATTTAAAACATGATGGATTATAATCTAGAAACTGCAGCTCAAATCTATCTCTCAGCTCATTCTCAACCCAAATCACGAAAGAAGAAGAAAAAAACAAATGTGAACTCTGAACACATAAAAAGACAGTAAAACCTTATCTAGAGACACAATTATGAAACAAAAGACATCAAATTTCATATAAACCATTCAAATTCACCATTAAACTCGTTGATTTGTCCTATATATCACTTGACAATGTCCACATCTACCTTAAATCACATTACACAACTTTGGATCCCAATATAATGGAAACCGGAATATAAGTTTCTGATTCCTCCTCAACCAATGGCAAAGAACAGATATGAAATTCAGAAACTACGATCATATTATTGGACAAGCGATTCCGGGAACTAAAAACAAAAAGGAAATATATAATGACGCAATCATTTTTCAAAAGGTCACTCAAAAGTACCTTTTTTTTTGCAATTTCAAGAAGCAAAAAGTAAGTCTCTCTCCGATTCCGAATCCTTGCACTCAAATCCACACCCACACTGAGGCGACTCCAGAAACTCCTGGATCGCGAAATTCGCCGACGTAAACCCGACGGAAAACCCCATCTCGTCACCGTTCCTGGTGACCTCCACGATGTTGAGCCACAAGAACAGAACCTTCACCTTGATGCCACTCAAATTCTTGAGCTTGTTCTCGGAGATGTAACCACTGATTGTCGATTTGTAGTTCAATTGATAGGAACCCACGAGAGAGAAGCTACACGAATCATTGAAATACGCATGGAATTTGCCTGTTGATGTGTCTAAATCGTAAGCCACGACTCCTTTCGGAAGGATTCCGACGGGGAAGTTGTAGCTCTGGAGGAGAGAGTACGCCGTCGGCGAATCTGCTTCTGCGGCGACGGCGAGTGGAGAAGGTAGATGGAGGAGGAAGAGAAAAGAAGCGATTACAATTGCGAGACGAGGCATCTGGATGATTCGAATCTGTGCGGGTAAACGAAGGAAAAATCAAATTTAGATTTGATTTTTGTTTTCTGCTTTCTTCCGTCCGCCTTTGGATTTCGTTTTTCCGTCCGAGACTTTTTCTATTGGTCGTTGAAAATATCTTCTGTACGAAAGAATGCGACGTCGTTTTTAGATGACAACTGTACACGTGGACACGTCTACAGGTTGTTGGGTTTTTGGTGATGAGTAATTTATTTTTGGAAAGGTATTTATTATGGATCATGTTGAAATAATTTGCATTAAGACATTTTGTTAACAAAAAGACAAAATATTGCACATGACTTGATCAAATTTCGTGAAAGAAAAAATTAAATTATGTTTTACATATACACATAAGGCCTTTTATTCAGTACAACATAAGGCCCAGTAGATTCAAGAAAAAAAGAAAAGCCCATTACAATCAAACCCACAACCACACTGTGGACTCTCCACAAAATCAGGCGCCGGGAAACTCGCCGACGCGACTCCGACGGAGAAATCAAGATCGTCACCGTCAAGAGACACCTCAACAATATTAACCCAGAATAAAAGCACCTTAACGCTAACGCCTTTCAGATTCTTGACATGACCGGTGGATATAACTCCGGAGATAGTTGATTTGTACTTGAGCTGGTACGATTGGATGGAGAATTCACATGTGTCGTTAAAATAGACTTTGAAATCGCCGGTTTTTGGGTTAAGCTCGTAGTCAACGACACCTATTGGGAGGATCCCTTCTGGTAAATTGTAGCTTTTGACAGCGTCGTAAGCGGTTGGTTTCTGGTCGGAGACGGCGAAAGAGGCGGTGAGGAAGAGAACGAAGATGAGGCTTGAAGTGGATATTGCGTTTGACAACATCTCTTATTCTTCTTCTTCGCTTTGTGGCGATGATTCGTGTCTACTTGTGTTCTCCTTTGAAGTAGTGTGTTTTGTTATAAATACAGAAGCCGAAAACAGTTGTTAGGAGTTTGTGTCTTGTGGACAGTTGCGCGTCCGATGAAGAGACCATGCAATAGATGGACGGCGGAGATTTGATCGACAGAGGTCACGTGTTCAGATTAATCAAACTAACCTCAATTGAAATTAAGAAACTCTACCAACTTTGCAATTGATTAAAATGGATTAATATCTGTCCTGAAAACAAACCGAACTAAAGCCAAATTGAAAATGTCACTTTTAAATAAGTGGTTAAGAAGAACTGAATACGTAAAGCCAAGTCAAAACCGTTATAACCTAATCCAAATTAGTTTTCGATTTCAATCTAGTTAATCATACTTCTTAACCCAAAATTCCGAGAAGAGTCAAATACCAAAAATGTAATCAGTCAAAACTGATTTACATGCTTGTAAACTAATGGTTTGTACTAGTGATACCATCACATAATCCAATTCAAATCTAACGGTGTGTGTGAGAGTTTAACCGGGAAAAGAAAAATCAGAATCCAGTTACATGTGCGAAAGATGCTATTAATGGAAAAAAATACAAATCTTGGGGGTGAAAACAGTTTTGCGTGTTTTTTTTCTTTAACTCAGATACCAACGAATCATCATCATCAACAATGAAATACAAAGCAATCATATAATTAACAATAAGGCAAAAGATAAACAAAGGGGAGTAAAACTCAATACTTACGCTTTGTGTGTTGTGCTCTCAAATCATCAGCTCACATCCTTCAATCTCTTTATTAACGCGTCTAACGATTTGTTCTTGGGGTTTTGCCTCGACCCTCTTGTTCCAAAAGTCCCGAAAATACTATCAGATGGATCTCTGAATTTCTCAGAGACCGTCGCAACTTTCCTGTAATCCAAAGCATTGTAGCTTCTTTCTCTGATCACAGGGTTCACGAAATTCTCAGGGTGACTACTCAGAAGCAAATTAACCATCTGTCTTATCTCGACGAATGCTGTTTTCATCTCTTTCGCTTCTTTATCCGTGAGCAATGGAGTTAGTTGCTCTGTAAAAGAGTCCAGCAACTGAATATCCACATCAACTCCTTTTATTGCAGCCATGCTCAATCTTTTCACTAGATCTCCGCATAACGTTCCGACGATTTTCTCAGAGATGTGAGCAAGGACATCGCGCAAAACCCTTTTCAGGACTTTGGCCGGTAATATCTGTTGCGCTGTGGAAACCAAAGTCTCTAAGTAGATCAATACTTCGTTCATGTACTCGTTCCCGCCTTGTGGAATATCTTCGCTTGTCCAGTTAACATTCTCGATCAATGTCATGAACCCGTCTATCTTCTTCTTAAGCAATCCCGAGAGTGTGTCTTCTGCAGCGTTTTGGGCTTTGGTCAACGGGAAGTGTCTCCTACCTCTCTCCGCCATCCTCATGGGAACTCCTGAAAGCTGAGCAGCGTGACGGAAGAAGAAATCGCAAGCACGCTCAAACACCGCCATGTTTGCTGCGACCTGCATCGCCTGAGAAACTCCATGAACCGACGTGTTAATCAGCTTCAACAGAGCCTCGTCGAGAACCTCGCCTAGAAGCCGATCCAGATACTTCTTCACAACATCATAGAAATCAAGCTGGCCTCCGTGAGACATGAAACTAACCGAATCCTCAATGAAAGACCGCACAATCCGGCAGCAATCTGGCACAGTGGTTGAAAACGGAGCAATGTAAGGGAACGCCGGTACAATATCTGACGTTTGTAGCTGGAAAGAGAGCACATTCATAGAGTACTCATACTCTTTCTTCATCAGCATCTGCTCAAACTTATCTGCTGATAAAGCTTCTGTGATCTGTTTACGGCAATCAGATAACAGCAGCTCGTGATACTTGTCCCTGTGCTTGCTCAGTACTTCGAGAAGAGAATCAACGGTGTATCCATACCTACGTAGACTCACCCCTAACAAGCTCACATAATCCTTAATCAACAAGAGATGATTAGCCGTCTGCATCCTAGAGAACTGATCCTCCAACACAGCACACATATTAGTAACAGCAACATCCCACAAAAACTCAACTTCAAGCTTCGAGATCAAGCTTCCTCCAGTCCTCAGAACTCTATCCTCTACTATGAAAAACCCAGCAATCTGTGCGAAAAACGTCTGATGAGACTCGAGAAACGGAGTCATAGAAGATACCTGTGAGTCATTCCTAAGCTGGAGTTTCCTATTCTCAAGATAGTACTGCTTGAAACCATCTTCAAGGGATAGTGTCTGATGAATGTGGTAAGCTCTATACAGTGGAGTCAAATCAAAGCCTAGCAATCCTCCACCGGAACTGCCAGCATCGCTGCTTTCAGGGCCAGACCCGAATTCATCGTCTTCTTCTTCGTTTAGCGCGTAGACGCAGTCGCGTAGGCTGAGTCTGCTCTGCTCCTCCGCCTGTCTCTGCTTGATCCTGAGCTCTTCCTCTCGCTGACGAGCTGCAGAAGCTTCGCCGATTGCTAACTGACCCAAATTTCGACTCACCACACGGATCTCGACCATCCAATCCTGGAACTCTTTCATCACTTTCCTCTCCACATAAGATCGAATTTCCGGAATCCTCTTCTCCAGCATCCGTTTCAGCGTTGACGAGGGAGTTTTCTCCATGAAATCGCTCTCAATCGAGTCCACACACTTCAACGCCATGTAGAAATTCCCGCTCTGGAGATGCTGGTTAGCTCGGGAGACAAGCTCCATAACACGAACACAGTGCGTCACGGCTCCAATCGCCAGATCGACGTTCTTCGACACAGTCTGCGCCTCAACGAGCGAATCAAGAGACGAGAGAAGCGGCGCCGCCACGGATTGGAGTTTAGAATTCGAATCGGAGAGCGCAGATTTGAGAGATTCAACATCTGAGAGAAGCGACTTGAGATCGTCCACGGCGTGGATAAAGTCCTGATAGTGAGCCTTACACACCTCCTCGATCTCCGATTCCTTGGATCGCGCGAAAAACTTGAGATGGTGAAGAAGAGTCTCCGGTTTCCCCGTACCGAACGTTTTCCGAACAAACGGTCCCAAATCCTCGCCGTTACAAATCGCAGACGATATTAACAGTTCGTCAAGCTTCTCCGCCGTGTCTATACCGGCTCCGGCCGTTGTGGGACCCACTTTCCGCCGTACTTTCGATGATTGCATTATTTTCGACTTTTTCACCCAAACTGGTTTTAGGTAAAGCGTACAGCGAAGAAGAAGGAGAAGAGGGAGGATTTTTGGATTTGGACAACAGATTGATTTGGTGGGCGAATGTGGTTTGACTAAAATGTCATCGCTGTAGAAGCGGTGCGACCGACGAGGACGAGGGTGTTTTCGTCTATTTCAAACGGAGTGGTTTCTCTGACTTTCGGCTGAATATTTGTCTTCAGAATTTTACGCGTGATAGCACGCGCTCAAGATTGTATATAAAAGCTCCTACGAAAATGGTACTAATCGATTTTATTTTTTGATTCACTAGGATGTATAAACGTCCCCTTTCAATTTCTTGAGAAAATATTTGTTTCTTATATTTTTCGAATTATTAAACAAGTAAATTACACACATCATCATCCTTGAGACAAATTACTAGGCTTACACCACGAAAGAAAGCAAAGCTTGCCATTGTGAATGGCGGGCTCAGAATTTCTTGAAGAAGCCATAGATATGGTCAGTGACTTCCTCGGGCTTCTCTTGTTGAAGGAAGTGACCTACACCTTCCATCACCACCACTTCTTGTAGAAACGGTACGTGTTTCTTCAAACCACCTTCATGTATGTATTCCTTTGTCCCGGGTATATTGTACGTAATGTCGAGATCACCCACTATGAATTTGACAGGGACCTTGATCTGTTGACCCGCCCATGGAGCCGTTAGCTCCCAGCTTCTACAGATTAGGATTAAGTCCAGATCGATTCAGTGTCCATGAACAACCGCGAGGAGATAATAATGTATCATGATGTGTGTGGAAATGGTGGGAGAGAGTTTTACAAGACTTACAGGTTCAGAGCGCGATAGTAGTTTAGTCCACCGGTGAAACCCTTTTGGTTAAACTTATCTGCGTAGAAACTGACGTCTTGCTCGGTGAGCCAAGCAGGCAAAGCAGGTGGATCAGGTAAACCTCTGAAACCAAGTGTCTTGGGAATGCAAGGTGGGCTCGGATTACGCGATGTGAAAAATCTGTTTATTAACTTCTTTGTATCCATTTGAGCAAAGTCTTCTTCGATCTCTCCAGGCTCCTGAGAAAAAAGAAACTCTGAAATTCATCAGTACAGAGTCATAGTGACCGGTTAAGCAAATGGAAAAACCACAACAAGGCTCATTTAACTTGCATTTGCTTAAAAGCAACCATTTTGACTTCCACTTTTGACTACTATTTGACGTTTTAAAATCATCAAAATTGCAACTTGCATATTATATACTGAACTAATTTGAGCTTTGTATAGGTAGGTGATGATGCCGGTTTCTGTAGATCCAAACAAGTAATCAATGGTGGGTTTTCAAGCAATTTCCATTTCAATACACATTGTCACATCAGATCAACATACAAGTAGCGGATATTTTAAACCTGGAGAATTACTACTACTTTCACACAAGTAAACACCAAACAAGCACATAGCTATAAGTAGTTTGCCTCAGATCTTTTTGATAATTAACCAATGTGGGTAACGAAGAAGATGCATAAACAGTTTATTAATTCCTGAACAGTAAATCTACAACAGAAGAGAGAAGCATTGAATCTATCTTTCATTGATTCCAGACAGAAACCCTAAGTTATATTCTTCATTTCAGGGTTTAGAGTCTCACCTGAAACCTGCAGATATAGTAATCGTCGCCGAACAAAGCCCTAAACGCATCAACAGGTTTCACAGAAGGATTCCTCGGATTGAAGACAACGCTTGTGTTGACCAGCGCCTTGACTCGATCAGGCCGAATCATACACAACCACCACGCGACGATCGCTCCCCAATCGTGGCCGACGAGGAAAACCCGGTCGACGCCGAGTGAATTCAGTAATCCGACGAGGTCTCCGACGATATGGAGGATGGTGTAAGATTCAGGAGACGGAGGCGAGTCGGAATCGCCGTATCCTCGGAGATCCGGAGCGATTGCGCGGTAACCTAAGTCAGCGAAAGAGAGAAGCTGGTGGCGCCACGAGTACCAGAGATCGGGGAAGCCATGGAGGAAGAGGATAACTGGACCTGAACCTATCGATGCCACATGCATGTTTATGCCATTGGTGGAAATCGTCGTGTGCTCTATCTTCTCCATTGTTTTTCTTCTCTTTGTCGTCTCAGTTCTTTCTCACTCTCAGCTATCAGGTGCTTGTGGACATTGAAATTGCATTAAATTGATATATTTATTCACGGCCTGACAAACAAAATAAACAATTGTGACCAAAATGAGGCTTATATTATAATGCCCATACCGGCCCATATCAAATTTCATAACATTTTCAAAGAATGTTCAAAATTACAACGGTTTATTACAGTTCTACTATGAGCTCTATTTAACAAGTGATAATAATAATTAAAACAAATACAAGAAATTACGAAATTAAACCGGCCATATAAGGCACACCACTCTGAACCATCCACTCATCTCCAAATAAGAAATTCGAAACAGTAAAATTATTCGCGTCCGTAGAATTGATCACGTGATAACCAGGCCATACCACCCGGTTCGTGGTATTTGAACCGGATCCGGTGTTGTTATGCTCAGCATAGTACAACGTACTCAGTGCGAAATCTCCGTTCCACTCTCTCCAACCAACCGGTTCAACGAAACCATCCATGTACGATTGCATGAAAACCGTACGTGAATACTCCTTCCACGGCCGGCCCAAATACGTTTTAACTGTATAGTTGCTCGAAACCAAATCATCCGCTGGTCTAATCGTACAATTTTGGATCGAAGTTCCGGTATTTTGGTTAGGGTCGGTACGACCTTGAGCCGTAATTGCGTTAAACTGGTTCTGCAGCGGTTGTCTCGGATACAGATTACAGTTTTGTAACACAACAGCTGCGTTTCCAAATATGAAATCGATTGTTCCATAAATATCGCATTCTCTGTAGAATTGTCTTAGGGAATGTGTGTATAAAGTGTCTTGATAAGCTTCGAAACTGCAACTATAGAAGATCGAGAGATCGGCGCTGCTCCTCAACGCCACCGCCTGGTGCTTCTCTGGTCCGGCAGTATTTCGGAAAGTTATATTTACGGCGACGAAGTTCGGCGATGTTACGGCTGAAAAAAAGATAAACCCGCAACGATTATTATTTGTTTCTAACAAACACCATAAAGAAACGATAATATAGATTTCACATTTTACCCAAAAAAAACGATAATATAGTTGACCCAAAAATAAAGGAAATAGGGATAATAATTGCTAATGCGTCTTGTCACATATTCACTAGTCTCCTAGAAGTAATATAAAGTTTGTCATATAGTGAAAACGTGCAATTATGAAACTACTACGCACGTAAAAGTTACATTTCAGATTTCTGGGGTTGGTTTTACGATAGTATCATCATAGTCATATGTGTCGGTAACAAAATTTTTAAAAAATAAAAATAAATGTTAGCTAGCTAAAAATAGTTAAAGTTATTCATGTGAAAGTGAAACAAAGCATTATCTCGATGGACGTACCAAAAGTGGCGGAGTTGAAAGTGGTCCAACCGTCTACGACGCTCCTGTTACCGGTAATAATCGTACGGTTGATTCCGTCGCCGATCATCATAAGATACCTTTTGCTTTTCGCAATCACTACGTTTTCCTCATAAACACCTGACGTCACGTAGATAACGAAATAACCGGCGGTACCGTCGGTTTTGTTCGGCGCTGCCGAAACGGCTTCCGTTATAGTCGTGAAATTCCCCGTTCCGTTTTGGTTCACCGTTACAATGTCACTCACTAGCACCGTGTTTCCGTCATTGTCGTCGGCGAGATTCCTCCGGCTTAAAGACTCGTAAACGGCGCGTGTCCGTTCCGTCATCTTTAATGGCAGAGCTCCGTTGTGAAAATGACGGAACGGCTTTGTATGCGAGTGAGAGTTCTTCGGGTGGGCCCAAGAGTACCCGGTTTGTTTCTTCCTCTTTGGGACCCACCCTTTAGTAAATAAAGCTAGCGAAACGCTAAAAAGCTTCGTGTCGTTAATAAGAGGCAATGCGACGCCGTTTCGTATGGTCCACGAAGAGGAAGCGGCGGTGTTGACTCCGTCAAGACACGTTTGCTCGTTAGTCAACGCCGCGGAGAGAAGCGTTTGAATATCGTCGGCTTTGGAAAACGACAGCATTTTGGACGATGTGGTGACGTTAACGGTCTCAAACGAAGTTGTAAGATAGTCTGTAGTGAGGCTTGCAAGGTCACGGCAGTCTTGGAGTGCTCTAACGGCGGATTGGGATAATAGGCCATTGTTGCGTTTGAGGTATTTGTCGATCGTGCGTGTGAATTTTCGCGACTGCGTTAACGATTTGCGGAGGGAGAAACGGCCATACTCGCGAACGTCGCCTTGAGATGTTTGTGGGAACACTGATTTGCAGAATTTGGGATCCGGCGTCGTTTTGCAGATACTTGAGGAAGAGTTTAATGAAGGAAGAAGTGTTTGAGAGGCAATGAAGAGTGTTTGCAGAGACAAGAAGAGTGTAACGAGGAAAAGTTTTGGAGATGCCATGTTTTTTTTTGTGGTGTGATTTTGTAAAACTTTAGGTTCACTGGGGTGGTTATATAGAGTGGCTGAGGTTTTGGGATGTAGGTCCGCAACTAAATTTTATTAAAGTATTTATTTCACCTTATATAATATAATGTTTTTTTAGTGCTTTACAATATAATTTTCAAGGTTTGGTATGTGATCCACCGGACATTTTGAGCCACGCGTTGAGTTTGAGTGAATCCATTTGGAAGAAGTAGAGCCAATAATAAGATGTAAATCCGATGGCTCTCGAAAGGATTCAGACTGAACATTTGGTTTAAGGTGGGGAATGTCATGGAAACACAAATTAATTATAGTTGCTAAAAGTCTATATGTATCTCCCATACATTCGAAGCATTAATTTTGTCACTGTCAAGTATTTTGTTGCATCGGATTAATCATAGTAGAGGAACATTTTGTTTCCTCGCGTAGGGTTACAATTTAAAATGTTGAAGATTTGTTTCCCTTTGTTTGTAAGCTATGTTAAGATTTGTTTCCCTTTGTTTGTAAGCTATGTTCATCTGAATTGGTTTACCAGGCGAAGAGTTATTTATTATTCCCTCCCTTTTTATCACATGATATTTTAAAATTTATTTTTTGTTTTAAAATATGTGATGTTCTCACATTTCTATGTAAAAATTAATTGTATTTTTATTGTTTTGACTGTTTGAATTTTGAATTCTATTTTTTTTATTAGTTGAACTGTTTTGGAAATAATAAAAAACTATGTTTTGTTTTGAAAAAAATAAAGAATTAAATAATTTTTTAGTCTATGTGAACTTTTCTAAAACATCATCTAATAAAAAACGAAGAAGTATACATTTATATGGTTGACAAAAATAAAAATTAATTGTTAGTTAGTAATATTGTTTATTTTATAAATCCATTACGTTTCAAACTCGGATACATACCACAAAACAAAAACAAAAATGGTAAGAATGGGATTAAAAAAAACATAAACAAAGTATAAACACAAAATAATATTTATTCTGTTTCAGAATAAATGTCATTTGGAGAAAATGTATCTGCAATGTAATTGTATGTATTTAGATGTATTTTGAATTTAATACATCCAAATACATTGCAGATATATTTTCTTCAAATGACACTTATATGAAATAGAAAGAGTAATGAACAAGTGTGGTTAATATACCAAACAAAAAAAATAGTAAAATGTGAAACGAATGTGGAATATTATATCTGAATTTTTGCAAATTAGCAAATTTCAACATGTCTTAAAAGCATTGTAACGGTATACGAATCTATAAACTATATATACATTTTTTTTAAACCATCTGAACCAATTTATTGACAAATTATATATCCTTTTCTTATGTAGGAAAATTGTGTTTCATTACGAAAAGGCAACAATGTTTTTTACATATGATGGTCGAAAGACTAAATATATAGCTGTCAGTTGTCACGGTCGTATTTCCTCTTTCTCAAATGTATGATTCAAAATCTATGAATATAGCCTGTGTTAATTTTAAATGTTTCTCTCCCCTCTTTGGGATTATGTATAGCAAAATAACAAAAAAGCGAATTCTCTAGTTTTTCCAAGTCAACATTTTGGAGTCTTCTGAGATAAAACGCGTTGTTAGTTATGGAGATATTATCATCGGAAATTGCATCTTCATTCTTCAAAGCTGCCCAGCTGTTTTGGTAAAGATCCATGTTCATTCATGTCTTGGCTCTAATAGTCATGGAATATTATGTATAATATATGTATATAAAACTCACCATTCTATTATTCATATAGAAATAAAATTATGTATAAATATAAACTAATGATAATAAATAAAAAAACTCTTTTCTTTGTTTGAAATAATATGCAATATACAAATATAAATTTGGGTGATGATTAATTAATTAATGACAGACACTATAGCCCAAACCATATTGTGTTATATGTCATGATCAAAGTCTTGTAGATATTTTATTATACAAAATTTTGGGATTCTGAGTTTTAACTAGTGAAGCCAGTTAAAATATATATACGCAATTCAGCTATTTGCAAAGAAATATTGTAAACGACGGTGGCAAATTTTATCTATATAAATATGTTACTATTCACAGTGTATAGTCTAATTCTCTTTAAAGTTCTCCGTCGTTTCACCTAATTTCACTATCTTAGGTATGGTCATGGGGCACGTTTTTGGCTGTTTGACTTATGAGCCAAAATAATTAAATAATAATTGTCTTTCTTTTTTGGAATTTTGTCATAATATGTTCAATTATTATACGCTTATATATACACCGATTGACCTATATATACATATGTGAATATACAATGCATACTAGAAGATCATTTTTATGTATGTATATCAATATCATCACTGCACATCATTTAACATAACACCTGCAATATAAAGAAGGGTTTTTTTTTGGGTAAAGAAACAACTTCATCTTTCTGTAAAAATGCAGGAAATTAACATTTTCTACGAAAAATACACAGATATTAGTCTATTTGAATTATATAGCTTTCTTTTATTACTAGGTAAAATAAAATAAAAAACTGCATCTTATGTTAACCATCCAACAATATTAAAATGTGAATTATTTATATACTTATATTTAACGCAGTTCACTTCTTTTTTTGTTTAATAGAAAGAGATCTTATTACTGTTACCAAAATATCATAGTTTTTAAGAACATTTTCCCCATTTTGGTGTGGTGTACAGGTGTAGAAAAAGTTGTTTCAGGAACATTTTTTTGGGTCAACACGCACAAATAATTGAGACTCAAGAAGAGTCAAGCCCCAGTAATCACGTCCCCGGTCAGATTTTGCATTCAATTTATTTTCCACTTAAAAACGTAAGAATGTTGCAGTTGTTTTTCTAAACAGGTTTTTAAGTAGCTATTTTGATTGTATCTAAATATATGTTTTTTTTTTTTTTTTGTATTAGTTGGACAGTGCATGTTTCAACGGGGACCTTGAATTGGATAGTAAACAAAAAAAGAAACAAAAGCAGGCGGTCCCAAAACGATGGACTCTGAGCCAAAGACTTGAATGTGACGTTAACTTAATTATGATAAAATTATTCTTTAGTTGCATGTTATCTTAGTAATCTCTTCTCGATGATTTCATTATTTTATATTTGTATGGTTTTTGTTTTTTTAAATAATTTTATATTCGTCTGACTTTTCTGATTAAATATGTGTTTAAGTAAAAACAAAAAGGATCTAAGAGCAGCTCCAATGCAAAGAGCATTTCATAGGTTCTAAATATTATTTTAGTTATAAATTTTGAATTTTTTTAAGTTAAAAACTTGTTTAAAAGTAATTAAAATTGTATGGCTCCAATGATTGAACCCCATTGAGGTTCTAAAAAAAAATTATTTTGAAAATTAAAATACTTAAATAGAATTTATATTTTATAAAACTTAAACTTTATTGCATTTTATAAAATTTTAAATAAACATGGCATAAAAGCATATTACAAATAGATATATAAATCATAAACAGAAAAAAGACTAGTTGTAATCTTGAAATGTGCCAAATTTTTGCCATATATTTTCAACTAAATCAGCTTTCAATTGATGATGTACTTCTCGATCACGAACTCGATTTCGAATGCTCATCAGATTGCCGACATTTGAAGACATATCTGTAGAATACGTGAAATCCACTTGTGAAGTTCTGTTTGCTTCTACTTGTGCAAAGTCTAATACATCAAACTGAGTGTACCCATCTCGTTCGTCTTCTACTATCATATTGTGCAGTATGATACACGCTCTCATTATCTTTCCAACTTTTACCTTATCCCAAATAAGAGCTGGGTTTTTGACTATGGCAAATCGAGCTTGCAAGACTCCAAAAGCACGCTCGACATCTTTACGTACAGCTTCTTGATGTGTAGCAAATAAAGAAGCTTTCGGACCTTGTAGAATCGGAATAGATTGGATAAAGTAGCCCATTTTGGATAAATACCATCTGTGAGATAGTAAGCCAACTGATACTCGTGTCCGTTGCCAATGTAATTCACTTTTGGAGCTCGACTTTGTAATATATCATCAAAAACTGGTGAACGATCAAGAACATTGATATCGTTTAATGTACCTAGAGGTCCAAAAAATGCGTGCCATATCCAGAGATCTTGTGAAGTTACAGCCTCTAAAACGATTGTTGGCTTTCCAGATGCACGTGTATATTGATCTTTCCATGCGGTCGGGCAATTCTTCCACTCCTAATGCATACAATCAATGCTTCCTATCATCCCGGGAAATCCGCGTATCTCTCCAATATCGAGTAGTCGTTGAAGATCTTCTGGCGTAGGTCTCCTTAAGTACTCATCTCCGAATAAATTTATGACTCCTTCAACAAAATGTTCCAAGCATGAAATCGCAGTGCTCTCACCTAGTCGGAGATATTCGTCAACTGCATCAGCTGCACAACCATATGCCATCATACGAATTGCTGCTGTAAACTTTTGTAATGCAGAGAGACCGAACCTTCCGACAGCATCTCTTCTTTGTTGAAAGAATGGAACTTCAGTGGAGAGTCGATCAACAATACGCATAAACAAGGGCTTGTTCATTCTGAAACGGCGTCGAAATTTATGAGGAGGGTATATTGCATCTTCACTGAAATAATCATTCGATAAGTGGATTTGTCCTTCTTCACGTTGTCTTTCAATGTTGGCTCGTTTTTTTTTTGACTTGACTGCTTCTCGACGATCACCATGATGAATGAAAAAATTATCAAATGCTTGATCAGAAAATTGCTCGAATTTTTCATCCATCATTTCTTCGATATCATTATTAGAAGAAGATGTCATTTTAGAGAAATAGATGAATATATGGTAAAAAAAAGTAAAATGTTTGATATTTTTTTTGGTAAACGAACTGAGAAACTTTGAAAAGAAGCAAAATGTTTTGTGAGAAATATTGTATCATCTTTGTGACTTAAGTAGAAAACATTTGTGGTGTACATCTCTTTGATATATGTGGTTCCAATACAAAGCAATTATTAAAAAATTTGTG